GATAAATAACTTTTAAATGATAGATAATCGCTTTCCTTCAGCAGGTCCATCCTTCATTGTGTGGTTTTGTTATGTCAGGCAGCAAAAATAGATTTTCATACATAATTTATTATTAACACATTGTATTATTTTGTATTTATGTATGTGCATTTATCAATGCAGTGTGGGATTTCTGCTATGAGTCATACTTTTGCTAAGGATTTTAGAAACACATTTGAATGCTATATGGTTCCTGCATTTCGAGACGTAGCCCATTGCACAATTATACTAAAATTATGACTGTTGACCTTCATGTGACAAGGTGACCTTCAGCTCAAAAGAAGGACTGAGTGTTTTTCTAATTGCTAATTATTTTTGCAGACACATTATTGATTTGGTTTTAGCGGTGCACAAATTAGCGACTATATTATATAAATTAGCGAAGGTTTCAGGCTTATCAAATCTCTCAGTTCACCAGCGTTTGTAGAATAACCAGTGTTTTTTCTTTCTTTTTCTTTTTTTTTCTTTTTTTTTTTGGTATAGCATCATCTTTCTTGTCCCTCTCTTCCTCTTCTGTGAATTTGTCATGAGAGGTATACAGAACCCTACGAAGTTCATTTTTGCACCTCAGCAAGATTCCTACTAAACTGAGCCAAGATATGCCACATCTGGGACTTAAATAAATTAGAAATTCACACTCTCTATCTTTACTAAAGACACATGCAAGTCTATTATGAAACACCATCTGCAATAAACTTGATTAACTGCAATAAACCTCCCTTTTGGAACAATTATTTGTATATTTACAATCTCAAATAACAAGAAAAAAGACCAGTTGTGAAACGTATGATTAAACACAGTAATAAAGTAAAATAATCTGCCAAATAAAACACTTTGTTTTGTGTAGAGAGTGAGCTTATGTTGTGACAAGAGGAATATTTTAAAATTGAGAAAACTGATTTTCATGACACACATTTTTCTAACAGAACTCCTGAGGAGGCAGAACAGTAAAATATGAGTATATCTCTAGCATATCTCAGCACCAACTGGTCACATACAAGCTCCCATGATGCATTTTATTTTATATATGGGCCAATGACGTGACGTTCATTTTTTTGTGTCCATATGGTTTAAATTAAATTTAAAAGGATTACAATTTCAAAATAAATGTGCAAATTAATTGCATACATTCTCTTTTTTGTGGACCAAGTCTAAAATTTCTGGTTTTAATTCATTTTGAGAGAATATTTGGGGGATGATTGCAAAAATGTCAGTGTGGTGTAACTGTAAAAACTTTGTACCAAATAATTGATCTTGTTTAAAAAAGGTGAAATTCTCAATAAAACACCAGATCAGCTAGTTTGGCATAATCTTACATTAGTACTATTTAATAATAAATAAAAGTAAATGGAGCACCATTGATCTGACTATTATAATTAATTTGGGGAATTATGTGAGTCAAGTCAAGTCAGTTTTCTTGAGTGTCAAGGTTGGTGTAACCACCATTCAAGGAGCCATTTTGTTAATATTTTGCAAGAAGATCATATGACCGGAAATTATAACACAGAGAAGGACCTCTGGTGATACTAACTGCTGCATGACAAGGTTAATAACTCTCTTTAAAATGTGAGATAATTTGACATTTTTAGGGTATGGTCAGGTATTCTTAGGTATGCATGTCAAATGGTATGACCTCAGGAATACATTGATAATTCATCATTATTATAAAAATGAGTATTAACTTTAAAAATTACATTTGAAATATTCCCACCAAGGCCATGTCAATGTGCGGGCTCTTCCAAGCTTTATAATGGCAGTGAATAGGTGATATTCAATAGTCCAATAGAAGTCCAATAAACTGCATCCATCCATAATAAAAAAGTGCTCCAGATGGCTCCGGGGGTTAATATAGGCTTCCTGAAGCGAATCAATGTGCTTTTGTAAGCAAAATATCCATATTTAAAACTTTATAAACCGTAATCTCTAGCTTCTGCTAACTTTCGTACGCGCGTTCACGAGAGAGTGGCATTCTAGTGGATGATGTAAGTGTAGCATAAGCTCTGGTGAGAAGTGACAAACATGGAATCATAGAGGAGAGAGCAAAACAAAACACCGGTCACGAATTAGAAGTACAAAAGGAGGATTTGTAAAGAGAAATGTTGAAGGATTTTGATAGAAGCCAAGAGCACTGTAAAAATGCAACTGCACATTTTCCAGTTTATGAAACCTTTTGAGTCTCAAATACTAAAAAATGCTATTTTCTTGAAACTACATAAAAACCCTTGTCAGACCAACAAAATTACCCCAAATGTTGTCCCAACTAGTCAAACACAGTTTTCTGAACAAAGAATTTCATATTGTTTAAATTTCAAGGCTTTGTGAGTTCCCAGCATGCATTGCAGCATGAATAAATTATGCAGTTACTGTTATAGGATTATTTTTTTGCTGTTTTCTGACTTAATTTAAACTTTTTTGTTAATTTGTCATTATTGTTAGTTATTTGTTGAACTGTGATGCAAAGAGCTCGTCTTTTTAACATTTGTTGATTGCCACCGTTCTTGAGGTTTGTGTGTCTAGATTTGAGGCCTAGAAAATGTTCAGCCATTTATAACCATTTTCTGGATATCTTAGTCTTGTAAGTTGTATTACAAGTAAAGAGAATGTTGTCTATGAGTTATCTATTAAGGTTTACCATTCATAAATAAACATCAAATCAATAATGTGGTGACTTTATACACATTCTTTTTTTCTTCAAGGAAACATAAAAAAATTTATTATGTAAACTATGTTAATTGTTGTTTCAGTTGCTGTGAAAATTTTTCTTTTAGCAATATAAAACAATAAGCATTGCATGAACAAACAAATTTACATTGACTAAACAAATTATTTTTACTGAGAAGAACTAAAATATTTTTGTTGAGAGAACTCAAATGTCTTATTGCTTAAGTTGCCTAATTTCTTTACGTTTTCTCAGCTATTTATTTTTTACAGTGAGGAGATTGGTTTTCCTTTGCTGTAAACAAAACTTGGTTCTCGCGAGACTATCATATTCTCACCAGTGCTTACGCTATGTCTATGTCCTACGTCATCCGCTGGAACGCCACTCTCTCGTGAATGCAAGTACGACAGATAGCAGAAGCTAGAGATTATGGTTTATAAAGTTTTAAATATGGATATTTTTCTTATAAAAGTGCATTGATTTGCTTCAGGAGGCCTTAATTAACCGCCTGGAGCCGTCTGGAGCACTTTTTTTATGATGGATGGATGCAGTTTATTGGACTATTGAATATCACCCATTCACTTTGGGGGGGGCAATTTTCATTTTTGGGTGAACTATCCCTTTAAGCAATATAGTATCATATAATATAATGTAATATATACATAAATGATTTAATAATGTAGCAGAAATCTATGAAAAATGTTAACCAAAGATTACAATTTACATCTGTAAAATACAATTAATTAAATTTCTGATATTTTATCATTAATATGATATAACAGAGCCCCCTTTTCCCCAATAGATGCCACAATACAGTACAAAATTACAATAAGAAAATTAAAATTACAATACGAGACATGAGTTCACTGTTCATCACTATGATGATTTCTTTTCAGATATTGTTTCTTAAATGTAATTATAATATGAGACATGAGTTCACTGTTCATCACTATGATGTTGCAAGATCTTTTTTTTAGCATTGGAGAAAAAAAGCACTTCAGCTGAACTTGTTGACAGTCATGCTTGATTTTCAGTGTCAATTTCTTCAACAAACAATGGCCTTTGGCTGTAGAAGCAACATGGTCAGGTGGTGTAACTGGTTTGTGTCAATTGGCGTAACCAGTATTTTTCATAAAAATATAATTATATACAGGAAAATTAATGTGGAATAAAATGTAGTCATCTAGTTTAGTATAATAATATGGTTTTTAATATTTTTTACATAATTTGTCAAAGATTAATTTGAAAACAGAGGTGTTTTCAGCATATGTCCTGCCATTTATTGCAAAAACGCATTAAAATGTACATTTAGAGATAACTAATAAAATCTTTATTTCTATGAGTAAGCGTACGTTCCCTCTAGGTGGATAAAATATTTAATATTTCTCATTCTTTGGCGGTTACACCATTTGACATTTTCATGTACATTCAGTCTTAACGTTTGTAAAAAATGGTACATATGTCATTTTTAATTACATAAAATCAACATAAACACGCTGTGTACATTTTAAAATACCTGATGCATGCTTTTAAAACAAGTTTTTAAAACATTTTTGAATTTCTCATCTTGACAACCCCTTTTTGTCACTGACCCATATCCATTGTTTCCAAAGACAGTGCGACAGCAAAGCTTTGAGGTTTTTGTGCCGTTTTTCTGTTAGAGAGGTCAAGTAAATACTTACAGCGGATCTAAATATTTATAATTAATTATAACTAGTTGAAAATATGAAATATCAGAAATATTAACAGTAATTTTTGGATGTTGGTTTTTAAATACCTAGTTCAAAATTGTCTGAAATTAGTTTTTTTTTGTGTGTGAATTTTATTTTGCAAGCTAAAATGTAATATCGGGCCAATCACAACGCACTGGATAGCTGACCAATCAGAGCACATCTCGCTTTTCAGAACGATGAGCTTTGTAAAAATCCATGCGTTTCAGAAAGGCGGGGCATAGAGGAGAAACAATAATGTACAGTATGTGGAAAATAATGTGTTTTTTGAACCTTAAACCGCATAAACACATTTCATTACACCAAATAAACAAAATACTGTTCTTTTTTAGCAACGTCATATGACCCCTTTAAAATTGCAGGTTCTGAATCAGTTCGATTCGTTTGAACAAATCATTTAGTCCTATTTTCTGAACTGGGTCAACCAATTCACCGAAAAGGTTTGATTCAAAAGAATGACTCGTTCACGAAGCGAATCAACGCCACAGGAGAGCTAGTGCAGGATTTTCGGCGAATAACTTACATTTTAATCTGTTCCTTACACAAAGCTACCATAAGGCTTCTGAAGACTTGGAATATTGTGCATGAGTCGTATGGACTGCTTTTATGGTATGTTAATAGTGACAATTGTCATTTTGGACCTTGACAGTCCTCATTCAATTTCATCATATCGTTTGTGTTTCACAAAATATAGAAAATCATACAGATTTAGAACAACATCAGAGTGAGTAAATAAATCTTATAAACATGAACTATTCCTTTAAATATATCTATACAGAAAGTGACTTCAAAAATATTCACATGTGACAACTAGCCCCGGTGTTCTGTACATACTGTAACTTCTCTGCAGTTCTTTCTTCCTCTTATCTTTTTACGAACTCACTATGGCTATTCAGTTTCTCATATGTCCTCCGTTTCTCTCTCTCTCTCAATTCATTTTCAACGTTCTCTCCCTCATTGTTAAATCTCAGCAGTAAATAAACGGTGAGAGTGACAGATCAGTGAGCGCGGTGCGCAGAGAATTTCAAGAAAACGTCACAACCGAGTCAGAGCGAGAAACGAGTTAGAGAGAGAGAGAGTAGTGAGAGGGACAGAGAACGAGGGAGGATATATTGATACAAAACGACGGTGGTTTCTCTTCAGTGTGTGTGAGAGAGACCATGAGTGAAGACAAGATGGAGTGCATGAACAGATGAAGACTGTCATTGGGTGGGTGAGAGTGTGTGTATATATCTGTCTGAGTGCCTTTTTTTTGTCCACTTGATAATGCAGGTTTATGTATCAGCTTGACCACCTGTTAGTGTGAGTGCGTCTGTGTCCACATGCATGCATGTTGCCTGCAGGTGTATTTCTTCATGAGTGAACACATTTCAAGTCGGGTTTAATGATTGTGTACTAGTAGCTGTTTATTTGCACTTCTGCTTAACTCTGCATGTGCTGTGTCTCTGTGCTTGCCAACATGTGTATGTTATTCAGCCTGACAGCCTTTGTGTGTATGAACGTGTTGAAATAACTGTCTTGCCACACATCTGCAAATATTATTGTTGATTGTGATGTTATTTTTTGTGCAACATTTTATTTTTAGTCAAATTATGGAAGAGGCTAACTAAAATCAGGCAGCATGTTGTGTGTTTGATATTTTAGACTTTTAGGTAACATTCATTTTTGTGGCATTTCTATCAATCACACAAAACAAAAAAGGGAGAAAAACTTTGTTTCGACTCATAACAGTGACATTTTATCATGCTTATTCTATTTTTGGCTTGTTAGACAGTCTAGTTCACGAGACAAGAATCTTACGAACTCCAGGAAAAGATGTGAAAAACAGGTTGAAAGAGAATGTGTGAGACTGAGATAGAACGCACAGAAGAGGACTCGTATGAAACAGACACTAGGCCTATATCTCTGTCCTTAGGGAGGTAGTGTAATCAAAACAGCTGCATTACTGGTAATGAAAGATATTATCAGCTGAAAGTCTGTCACACATCTTTATCTGTCTGGATCAGGGGCCGTGGGGCATTCTGTTTCACATGTCACATCAAACGTTTTGTTTTAGTTTTGCTCAGGACAAAAATTGGCACCACCAAATTGGTTGAAATTGTGTAAGATAAGAGATTTTGAATTAAAGGCATACTTCACCAAAAATGATTTACTCCCTTCATGTTTTTCCAAACCTGTACTTTGTTTTTACGGGACATAAAAGAAGATATTTAGCAGACTGTCCGAGCTGCTTTTTTCCACAGTGAAAGTATAAGGAAATTGCCAATTTTGGGGTAATTTAAATGTTAGTTGTTGTTTTTTTAAGGGTCGAGGGAAATTAATGGTATTTGGGTCATTTAATTATTTTTTTTTTTTTTTATTATTTTACTTTATTTTAAGGGAAGAGGGAAAATAACTTTTTTTTTTTTTTTTTTTTTTTTTGCATAAAGCATAAAACTTGATTGGAATTTTTTTGAAAACAAGAAAAAATATTTGGTAACGTGATAAACATGAAAAAACTTCAGCTTAACTTAAAAATGCCAAATAAAATTAATTCAAAAACAAAATTACCTGAAAACAAATCCATTATCTTACACAATTTTGTTTCTCAAGTAAGTTTTAAGGATCTTGTTTTAAGGATGTTTATATACTGTATATATTTTTAGGAAAACTAGACCCTAAAAAAAAGCACATTAATAGATGATTTTTGATTGCAGTTTATGGGATGAGAAGGATGTACAGGGTGGCCACATGGGTCAATGTTATCTTGTTTTTATTTCAATACATTTCATTTCATTATTTATTAATAAATCTCATTTAAAACAACCCAAGGTTGACCACAACATACATAGTATTTATATTTTATTTGTGTAAAATAGTTTTTTTCTTTAATTAAAATTTTTTTTTTACAGTTATGTTGTTTTAAAAAGTTCTTTCTTTCTCTCCACAGTTCTTTCCAGTGGTCCTGATGAGCGTTTCCAAACCACCTCCGCCCCATTCCCATTTTCCTCCCAGTAACCCTTCCTCCCATCTCCCCCTGCCTCCATCCTCCTCTACCTCCCCCTCTCCCTCCACCCCTCCCTCCGCTGCGGGTCCCCCCAGCCCCGCTGTGCCTCCTACTCCCTCCCCAGTCAAGATTTCCATGCAGGAGCACTTTGCCATCAATGTGTGCCCCGGCCCCATCCTCCCCATCCCACAGATCTCCGACTTTTTCCCTCGTTTCCACGACTTCCCCATCACCCCCCTTCCACCCCGGGAGAAACAGGTTCTAAAGGACAAAGACAAGGACGGAGACGGGAATGGAGAGAAAGACCGTAAGAGGGAGAGAGAACAAGGGGAGAACGGAGAGTTTGCCGACTCGGATGACGATGACAGTGAGTTTGTCTCGTGGCTAGTGACTGTTTCACGTTGGGTTCCCTTTGGGTGGCTTACACATGTGTTTACGCACTGCTCTTCCTCTTAAGTAATCGTTCTGCTGATGCATTTTTCACAAATCTACTGACATCCCTCTGGTACAACCTGGGGTTAAGTGCTTTTCTCAAGGACATAATGGTAATAGTACTAGAATGAGTCCTTGTGGCCTTTGAACCTACAAACTTTGTCATTACAAGCCCAATTCTTTAACCACCTCAGCCCAATCTCTTTCTTTCTTCACATACTGTAAAAACATGCTTCCTCACATTCATGCATGTGATGTTTCCTGTTCTGGATTCCCTTTGTTTGATTGACTGATTTTATTCACCACTAAGCAGCCAATGAGGCATGAGCACTTCCCATCGGCCTGGACCTCAGTCTCATACTGTTCGGTATTGATTGCTTTGTGTGGTGTTTGCTGGATTGGTGCGAGTGCGTGTGATAACTGAGGTACGCGATTGGAGTGTTAAATACTTCATTAGACTCTGTAATGATGCATAAAAACTACAAGCCCTCTGTATGTGCACAGCCCTGATTAGGTCGTTGCAGGCAAGACTGATTCCCAGCTAAGCCATTTGGGTTATTATTGGCTGCTATTTTTGCTAATGTGCATGCAAGTCATTAAGTTATTCCTTTGTTTCTTTCAGCCTACCTGGGAACTCTGGAGTTCAGCCTGCTATTTGACCAAGAAAATAACTGCTTGCACTGCACCATCCACAAGGCTAAAGTAGGTTTACACTCACACAAACACTACTGGGTGTTTCTACAACTATAGACATTTTCGGGCTTGTGCAGTTTTATAAAATAAACACTTTTAAAGCATGCTTTCCACACTATATCTCGTCTACTGACAATGTCCGTAGAGTTGACATTTTTGTTATTTTTTTCCTAAACTAACGAGCATTTCCACCACTTCTAAAATGATGTATTGTGTTTAATAATAATCTGTGATGGAACATTTTAAAAATAAAACAACAGACTGCTGTCTTGCTAGATAGCTAGATTTTTATGTATCGCAAATAAAATAAAGTTCTATTTTTACACTTTTTGCATCATTTGAAAGAATTATGACACAAATTATATTACATTTTTCTTCACAATGCAAAATGTGCTTTTGGGAGAAAAAACAAGTAGTTGTAGAATGTAATAATGAATGTGTTTATCGTGGGTTTTCATATTTTGAGATTAAATGTCTTGGTCTGGGGACAAAAGTAGAACATCTGTACATACAATGAAAAATTCAAACGTTTCCAAGACCGTTTCAATGTGACTTTCATATTACAAAAACAAAAAAGTTGAAGTAAACCACTGGAACATAAAAGTGCCTGAACATCCTTTTAACAAAATTGACGTTTTGTGTCTTTTAGTCGGTTATCTTTGATTAGAGTACTTTTTAAAATTGAAATATTTACAAATTGCACAAATCTTTTTCAATATGCTATTAGTATTTTATGTCATTATTATTTATTATTATTTTATTTCATTTACTATAAATACATGGGTCTTTTTTAATATTGATGACTCATACTGCACTCATTTACAAAATATTGTCCAATAAAATGTCCTCTTTAAATTTCTAAAACTGACCAGCAAAAGCAAGTAGGATAATGTATTTAAAGGGTTATTTCACCCAAAAATGAAAATTCTGTCATTAATTACTCACCCTCATGTCGTTTCAAACCCGTAAGACCTTCGTTCATCTTCGGAACACAAATTAAGATATTTTTGATGGAATCTGAGAGCTGTCTGACCCTGCATAAACAGCAATACAACTGAAATGTTCCCAAGTCCAGAAACATAGCAAGGAGATCTGTAAAATAATCAGGGGTGCATCTGCAATTATACGAAGCTATGAGAATACTTTTTGTGCACAAAAGAAAAAATAATAACGTCTGGAGAATATCCGCTGGAGGTAAACAGCGTATGCTGTACTGTGTCAGCTGCGTCACGCCGGATCTGTTTCCAAAATATCTTAATTTGAGTTCAGAAGATGAACGAAGGTCTTACGGGTTTGAAACGACATGAGGGTGAGTAATTAATGACAGAATTTTCATTTGAACTAACCCTTTAAACAGATAATTTACTAAACATAAAATTTGCTTGCTTGTCATCTCCCAAATGAAAATATACTGCAATCTTAAGCAATCAAACAACAAACAAACAAACAAAAATGTTTTTCTAAGTTAAACAGTCTTGACTGTAATGTTACCCATGTCAGAGTTCGAGGATTCGCCTCTGGTCCATACAGAGAACCATGCACCCTAAAGTGTGCATATCACTGTAAGGATATGATCCATCAACCTCTCACCCCAGACATGTGTGTGCATCTTATGTGACATGAAGTCTGTGTGCTTTTGTGTGTTTGTTTGTGCCCAAAGGGGTTGAAGGCCATGGACTCCAATGGACTGGCGGATCCATATGTGAAACTCCACGGTAAATATCGACCGCCAGGGTTATACAGACACCTCCGGGCTTTTAAAAGGTGTACGAGCCGGAGATGCCCACCTTCAGACATACACACGCTCAGGCATGTACGTGGGCATGCAGGCATTAAAAGAACCCATTTATAACACTCTCTCTCCTTTTGTCCTTTTACACACTTCATGGTTTCATATGCATCCATATGCAATTATTAAGGGAATAGTTCACCTCAAAATAAATATTTTGTCTTTTACTCGACCTCATATGACATTCCTTCTTTTTTGTGAAAGATAAAAAGAGCTTTTTTGTTTGTACAATGGAAGTGAATGGTGACCATAACTGCTAAGAAAGATTTTCAGTAGTCACATCTTATATTTCAATCTGTTCCTCACAGAAAGTGTTGGACAGCTTGCAATATAGTGTACATGTCATATGGGCTACTTTTATGATTTTTAAAAAGGCTTGACCCAGTGTTGTTAACTAAAACTAAAACGTTTTCAGTAATTCAGTGTAAAAAAAAAAAAAGCTGAAATAAAATATAAATATTAGATGAAAAACTTAAACTTGTTTATTTTACATAGTTGTCAAGGCATTATTTCTAATTTATGATATTTAAGAGGGCTTGTCCCCGTGTTGTAAACCTAAAACTAAAGCACTAAATCATACTCTGTATTAAAAAAAAAAAAAAAAAAAACTAAATAAAATAAAATATAAGATGAAAACTAGTTTTTTTATTTAAATCTATTTATTTCAGTTAGTTGTCAAGACAACAATAATTGTCTAATTTGTCTAATTTTTTTACATTTTAAGGTAAAGTACTAAAATTACTACAAACCTGAAATAAAAATTAATTAAAGCTATTTAGAAATGTTAAAAAAAACATAATAAAATTACTAAAACAAACTGAAAATATAAAAATAAAAGCTTCAAAATTTTCAAAATATTAGAAATGTTGCCTAGACAACACTGTCCGTACAATGAAAGTGAATAGTGACCATAACTGCTATGCAAGATTTTCAGTAGTCACATATTACATTTGAATCTTTCCCTCACTTAAAGCATCGTATTGCTTCAGAACAATTTAAATTTAGCACACAAATCATATGGGCTACTTTTATAACGTTTAAGAGAGCTTAACCCAGTGTTGTTAACTAAAGCTAAAATGTTTTCAGTAATTGAAAAAAAAAAAAGCAGGAATAAAAAAATAAATATTAAATAAAAAATTAGAAACAAAAAAGAAAATGAGAAATGTTGCATTGACAACTAACTGAAATGTGTTTGAAATACTCAAATTTGTGAAACTAAAATAAAATTAAAGCTTTATAAAAATATAAAAATATATTAAAAAAATGACAATAGCACATTTCAAAATTACTAAAAGCTAAATAAAAATGAAAACTTTAAAAGACCATAACTGCATAACATAAAAGATGATGTTCTGATGAGTGTTCAGGTTGCCATTTTCCATACAATGAAAGTGGATGGGGACGAGCTATTGTAGCTAGTCCCCATCCACTTTCATTGTATGGAAAATGGCAACCTGAACACTCATCAGAACATCTTCATTTATGTTTCTCAGACGAAAGAAAGTCACACAGCTTTGGGACGACATGGCGATGAGTCATTTTTGCTTGAACTATCCCTTCCTCTTGTGCAGGAACTCCATCAGCCTCCCATAAAAAGTGCAGGAAGCATAAGGAAAAAAGCGAGAGGGAGGGAGAGATTGTAGGGCTGGAGAGTGGCCCCTTCTTAGTCGAGTGTGTGTGTGTGTGTGTGTGTGTGTGTGTCATCATCACACAGCATGGAGAGAGAGATATCTCTCCCAAGCTGCTGTTCTGGGAATCTCACTGGCCTGGGCCAGATGGAGGGATGAAAAGGGAGAGAGAGAGACAAAAGGGGAAAGAGAGAAGTGAAAGTTGAGGATAAAATATTTAGAAGAAAATGTGATAGCACCGATTTGGCAGGAGGAGAGAGAGACAGGTGAAACCATATGCTGTTGCAGGCAAATATGCAATATGAGTGAGGAGCTTGGAGAAAAATAGCTGAAAAGCTAGTAGGGGTAATTAGACATTTTTTGATGTTAATATGAGTGTACAACCAATACTATGTTGTTATGGTTAACACAGCCTTTACTGTCTAAAGTGCCATGCTTTTATTCCACTTAACAATCACTGAAGTTTAAAGTCAACATGAAAATAAAGTTTACTTTCTTAATGCACTTTTCTAGTTTTATTAAGGAATAAATAAATTAATACTTTAATTTTAAATTACTTTAATTTTAGGATGAATTAAAATACTTTAAGGATGCATTAAATCAAAAGTGGCTATTAAGAGATTTCTAATGTTGCAAAAGATTTCTAAATAAATGGCAATCCTTTGAACTTTATGTCCCCATCCACTTTCATTGTATGGAAAATGGCAACCTGAACACTCATCAGAACATCTTCATTTATGTTTCTCAGACGAAAGAAAGTCACACAGCTTTGGGACGACATGGCGATGAGTTTTTTTTGCTTGAACTATCCCTTCCTCTTGTGCAGGAACTCCATCAGCCTCCCATAAAAAGTGCAGGAAGCATAAGGAAAAAAGCGAGAGGGAGGGAGAGATTGTAGGGCTGGAGAGTGGCCCCTTCTTAGTCGAGTGTGTGTGTGTGTGTGTGTGTGTGTCATCATCACACAGCATGGAGAATGAGATATCTCTCCCAAGCTGCTGTTCTGGGAATCTCACTGGCCTGGGCCAGATGGAGGGATGAAAAGGGAGAGAGAGAGACAAAAGGGGAAAGAGAGAAGTGAAAGTTGAGGATAAAATATTTAGAAGAAAATGTGATAGCACCGATTTGGCAGGAGGAGAGAGACGGGTGAAACCATATGCTGTTGCAGGCAAATATGCAATATGAGTGAGGAGCTTGGAGAAAAATAGCTGAAAAGCTAGTAGGGGTAATTAGACATTTTTTGATGTTAATATGAGTGTACAACCAATACTATGTTGTTATGGTTAACACAGCCTTTACTGTCTAAAGTGCCATGCTTTTATTCCACTTAACAATCACTGAAGTTTAAAGTCAACATGAAAATAAAGTTTACTTTCTTAATGCACTTTTCTAGTTTTATTAAGGAATAAATAAATTAATACTTTAATTTTAAATTACTTTAATTTTAGGATGAATTAAAATACTTTAAGGATGCATTAAATCAAAAGTGGCTATTAAGAGATTTCTAATGTTGCAAAAGATTTCTAAATAAATGGCAATCCTTTGAACTTTATATTCATCAAAGAATCCTGAAAAATGTCACTGTTTTCACCATTGAGAATAATAAGAAATGTTTCTTGAGTGTCAAATCAGTATATTAGAATGATTTGAGAAGGATCATGGGACACTGAGGACTGGAGTAATGGCTGCTGAAAATTCAGCTTTGCCATCACAGGAATAAATTATATTTTAAAACCTATTGAAATAGAAAACTGTTCTTTCCAGACTTTCTTTCCAAAACATTAAACTGTAATGTATATGTATATATATTATATTTATATATTTCCAGGAATACAGTTGTACTACCATTGTACCAAGGTACATTTTTGTATGGGATGCTATCAGATAATACTGTAATACCATGGTACTTTGACATGTAATGTTTGGTACCTTCTTATTGAATTGTAAATACCATGGTAAATACTGTATGTTAAATACTTAGTATAGTCTTACCATCTAACGCCATCACTGTACCGTGGTACTTCCACAGTAAAATGTGTGTCTGTCAATTAAATCAGTTGTGGTTTGAATGGTGCATTTCAAGTCCCAGTAGCTATTTGCTCAGTTGGTGCTGTTTTAATGAATTGTCACATGTATTTTTTTGCTAATGTCTGTTGGAATTAAAGTGTGTTTATTCATTTGCCGAGCATCCTCAGGGGACGAGAGAGAGGATAGCCAAGCTTGGCTGGTTCCAGCTTTAAATGCAGCAACGCAGAGAGTAGAACAGAGCAAGAGAGAGGGAGATGAAATTAAATATGCAGAGAAGCAACATGTTCTTCAGGCAATGAATGACGTGGACTCGCTCTGTCAGGAGAGCGAGCGCGAGAGAGGCTGCGGTTTGGGAGGTTGTGTTTGGGTCTTTACAGCTAGAGCGTTTCTTTGATTTAACACTAATTTGCTAAATGAGCTGTTGCAGTGTAATTGCCCAGTTTGGGGAGTTGAGAGTGTGAGAGTATGGGGTGGGAGCAGAATTTTAAGGAAGAAACAGCCAGGGTGATGGTGAGCTGTGGATTTGTGTGTGTGTGTTGTGGGTGGTCAGATTTGGCCTACATTGAGAGGAGCAAACGTCCCCACAAGCAGTGGAACCATTTTTCAGGGAGTACCAGCGGTGGTACTGGCTCACTCTGTACCCTAGGCAGGGTGTGACATGACTACAGGGGGAAAAAGCACTTTTCTTCTTGTTTTGTGTGAGATGAGTTCAGTGTTACAGTTTTTGTGCAGCGTGAAAGGGGACCCGGGATCAAGTCCCGACCTAATATGATGTTGTTGTTGTTTGAATATACCAAGCAAAATTTTAACTGAACTTGACAGCCAGCCATTAGCATACTTTTTTTTTTTTTTGCCAGGAAAAGAGCAATTTTGACAATTTATTCTACAGGGGAAAAAGTCATGCATGTTTGGAGCAATATGGGTGTGCATGAATGATGACAGAATTGTTGACTCTGTTGAACTGGCCAGATTTAGAGGGAACACCTTTTTTACTTACAGTAACAACACAAATTAATTAATAACATACATTTTTGGAAGTTTCTTTTAAAATTGTCTTCATGGGTATGATACTTTTGCACACAAGGATAGTAAAACATGAAATCACCTGCTTTGTAGAGAAAGCTAAAGTTCATATATAATGAACATACGCATACACAAAAATATGTAATAATAATATTAATAAAATAAATAATGTTAATATATTGAAAATGCTTTAAAATGATCAATCTGTCTGTCTATCCGTTCGTCAATCTATCTGTCTGCCATTCTGTTTATCGCTCTAAATATCAGTGTCTATCGCTCTAACTATTGTTCTATCGCTCTATCATTAGAGAATGCACTTATTTTAGGGTTTGGGTTAATCCTATAATTAGTTTAGTTAAATATAAAATGAGTTGAAATATAAAAACAATCAGAAATGTATCATTGCTCATTATATGCTCTTTTAGAAAGCTAGGTAAACAAGTGTATGTATGTGAGTATTAGGGGGAGCAGATTTTAGGGTAAGAAACAGAAGGGGTAATGATGATTGTGTTTGTGACAGAAGGGAGGTGAGCTGGGGAAAGCCTCCCATCCTATCTCTCTCCTCTGCAAAGTAGGTGAGCAGATGTCTGCCTTTCACCTGAGGGAGAAGAGATAAATGATGTTTCCTCTTCTGTCCTCCCTGACTGACTCTCCTCTTCATCTCTCCCACTGTCATCTCTACCCAGGTGCATCATGCTCATTCTAGGGGCATGTGTCCCCTCAGATTTTTGGTCCAAGTAGATTTAAAAATCCTATTTCTTAAAAATTATTGCAGGTAAAATAGGTTCTGAAGCACTGGCACTTTCACTTATCTAAATTTGGAGAGTCTAGCTGAGTCTTACACTTACATAAACTAAGTAGCTAAAAAGTTTTCTCTCTCTCTCTCTGCATCTTAATGTATCTCACCTTGGCTACAAAATGAGCCAGGGCTGCAAAAAGTGCATGACACCTCTGTCTCAAACTATTTATGTACTTTGTTAGGTGTAGCTGGATACTTCCAAAGTTTTTCTGTGTCCTTGTCATAATTAAATATCATTTCAGATTTTATTTATTTATTTTTGGTTAAACACGTGGTACAAAATTAAATTACTACACCTGTTTAGCAGTTGTAAAAAAAAATTTACCCTGCATTTTTTAAAATTATATTTAGTTTTTAAATTATATTACATTCTTAAATTATATTACGTTTATACATATTAATGTTTTTATATTTATATTTTATGTATTTTTATTTTATTATATGTCCATTTGAGCCATTCTCATGATGTGATAAGACCGCCCTGTCAAAAAAAGTCTGTCATTAAACAGAAAAATGTGGTGCAGTATCGATATTGAGGTTTAATGTGCAGTTATGTGCAAATCCATATTTATACATTGTAACAATTATCAATTACTCCACCGGCCTCGCTCCGTTCCCACGGCTCTCGGCCCCGCCCCCACTCGTCACATGCATATTTCGGTGATGTTCATTCAAGATAAAACTACAACATAAAACTTTAGCTTCAACTCCAGTTACTGGCCTTAACCACTACATCACCACCCTCTGCACAAACTGCAAACAACAGTAGCACATCTGATTCTAACAGATTCTTTAAATTGAGAAACTATTTACAGCGGTGGTAATTTCTGCCCAGATGGAGCTTGGGGGGTGTTAATTATTCCCCCAAATGCTCTTAGGTGGTGAAATGTGAAAATGTTTATTTTGAGCTTCTGGTTTAGTGGTGAGTTTAGAGCTCGGTTTTTTCATTTAGGATGTACTTGGGTGATGTGGTGTTGTGGTTAAGGCTCAGGCTGGTAACCGCGGGGTAGCTTGACCATCACCATTATGCACTTGAGCGAGGCACTTAACCCCATGTTGCTCCAGGGGGACTGTCCCAATAATAAGCTCATGGTGCTGTTCTATGATGACATTGTGTAAAAGTCATGGAAACATTCCATTGGATATATGGTGATAAATTAAAGCTTTTATTTTAATGGAATAATGTTTGAGAACGTGTTTCAACCTCACCTGCACTGAAAAAAGTCATTGTATTCATCAGTATTTTTGTCTTGTGTTTCAGTAAAAACATCTAAACATCATTAAAAACAGACAAATTCTTGTTTTCAGAGAATATATCTTGAATTAAGTTTCTTGTTTCTTCATGTTAAAGAAGTTTCTTCTTTATGTTTCTTGATTTAAGGTACAATATTTAAAAAAGTTTTTCTAATGGGGTAAGAAAAGCTTAATTGTAAGTTATATTCCCTGAAAATAAGTCGTCTTATCTTGCATAATTTTGTGTATAATATATGTGTGTAAAATGCTTCTTATTTTCAAGTAAATGCATCTTTATAGAGAACCAAACCAGCACTAACAAGCACAAACAAGCTGGAATTTTGGTTTAGGTTGGTCTTTTCAGCAGTGTTTTTTATATATATATATATATATATATATATACAAATTCACTAGCTACCCCACAATAAATCTTACTTCAATTGTTACATCCAAGAGTAATAAAAATGAAAAGTCCATTACAGCTCAGTCTGGGATAGAATTAGCCTGAAAAGGCAGAAAATATTGCTGTATGTGCTCAGATGAAAATGATCTTTAGAGAGCGTTTTCACTTTTGAGAGAGTGATGGATCAATGGATAGGAGAGGTTGTGTGGAAGCCCTTATATGGAGGTGATTTGGGCGTGTATTATGCTAATGACTAACTGAAGTACACGCTCCCTCATTTACAATAATCTGGGTTCATCAACATTAGACTGATGGTAAGAACAAATTTATGTGTGTGCACAGCTGTTGCAAAGCCAGCAGAAATTTTGCGCGAGCAGCTTTGTCTTGACCCAGTGTGTGTATAAATTAACTTCGTTATCAGTTTCAATACACTCTCCCTCTCTTTTTCAGGCAAATAAATTGCGCACTAAGACTTTAAAGAACACGCTGAATCCAGTGTGGAACGAAACGCTCATCTATCACGGCATCACGGCTGCTGACATGACCACCAAAACCCTCAGGTACTGTACCACCTCTGTTTCCCATTATCCTCACCAGCTTCAAGTATTTTTGGTTCTACTTGCACTTTCAATTCACCTTTGAGTATATGGCTCTCTGTTAAACCCTGTGAGTGTCTCCATCCGATGTATTAATGACAATGAGAACGTGTGAGTCATTTGTGTGTGTGCATGTGTGAATTTCATTACTTTCAGGTCAAGTCAACTCTCCAGAAGCACATTGCCACTCGGAGCACATTGTGTGTGGGCATGTGTGTATGAGTGTGTGTCTTCGACAGTGTGTAGTGGACGTCTCTGTGGTGCAATAACACACAATAACCTTAAGGTAACACCCACAATGTGGTCTAACCTTCAGTGTAGAGGTATGGTACAATTTGAGCAATAAAACTCAGAGGACAGAAAGAGATAGGGGCAATTTCTCTAGAAATGTAATAGAAACCCTTGTGATCCACAGCTGGGAAACAAACCTAGCAGGAGCTCTCGTGGGATGAGAGAGAGGGAGAGATAAAGAGAGAGCGAAGTCGCTTGCTTTACTTGTTCCACTTTTTGGTTGAGACCATGAAAAATTTGAGTTTAATGCTGAAAGAGTTTTTAATTCAACCCCGATTTACCTCAGTGCTTCAATCCAGAGATTTTTGCCTCTGCAGTACGCTAAGATATTGTAGAAATTGTGAAATTGTTTAACACAGAAACATCTTTGTAGTTTAAGAAAAACAATTAGCTGCATACATTCTGCCAAAAGTGTTTCTTGTGGTGAACATGGATTCTCGCCACTTTGGAATCCCAATGGATGAGTTTGATTCGATGATACTTTCCGCTCTGTTACGCTCCGTGACCATCATCCCGAAGAGCAGGTTGTCGGAGCCCAGGGCGTAGATGGAGTATGTCACCACAGGCAGCGTCAGCACCTTGTCACAGTGACTATGTCTGGGCTGTGACAGCTGGCCGATCTCAAACTTAACTGCAGTAGTTCAGTGAAGGGTGAGGCGAGAAGAATTCATATTTTATGTATAAAATCCCAAACATTGTAATGCAAGATTTTGGAGATCTGATCCAAAGCAAGTAGTTCCGTATTTACTATATTTCCTCCCGTATGGCCTTCTGTCTTTTCTATCATCAGCTTGTCTTTTGTCATGTGATTGTAATTTCCCACATGAGAACAATGACTGCTGGTGGCAGGCTATTGGCAGGAAACATTTTCTGAAGAATGACCGTGTTATCAATAGTGCTATTGTACCGTTATAGAAAAGCATCCTATGCTATTACCAGAGTCATCATCATAACAGGTGTCACTGAAGCATACAGTATGTGTTCATTGTTCTTTAGTAGGCAGTGTGAGTGTTCTTTTAGGAGCCTAGCAGACAAATTTGTTTTGCCACATTTTAAAAACACCCTGACTCTGTGCCCTAACCAGACGTGACACTTTACAGCGTCATTTTTTCTGCTCTCACAAGAGTGAAAATGCATGATGCAATGATTACTGCCAATCAGAAGTTTGATGTTTAATATACAGTTGTGGGGAGGGATTTTTGACAACTTTTCAACATTTTTGATAGTTCTGGGTGGAGGAATTAGATTTATCATAGTGAAAAAAATTGTTTAGATACATTCACTGATTCATGGTCAATCTATCCATCATTCTAGCTATCATTCTATCTATTCATTGTTTTATCATTCTATCCATCCATCCATTGTTCTATCAGTCAATCCATCCATCCATTCATTGTTCTATCGGTCAGTATATCCATCATTCTAGCCATCCATCCATCATTCTATCGGTCAATCAATCCATCCATCCTTTCATCGTTCTGTCAGTCAGTCTATCCATCATTCTAACTATCCATCCATCCATAGTTCTGTTGGTCAATCCATCCACCATCGTTCTATCGGTCAATCAATCCATCCATCCACCATTCTGTTGGTCAGTCTATCCATCATTCTAGCCATCCACCATCGTTCTATTGGCCAATCAATCAATCCATCCATCCATCGTTCTGTCGGTCAATCTATCCGTCATTCTAACTATCCATCCATCGTTCTATTGGGCAGTCTATCCATCCATTGTTCTGTCATTCCATCAATCCATCCATCGTTCTGTGGGTCAATCCATCCATCCATCCATCATTCTATCATCGTTCTATCGGTCAAACAATTCATTGTTCCACTTTTAGGTTGAGACCATGAAAAATTCGAGTTTCATCCATCGTTCTATCGGTCAATCAATTCATCCATCCATCATTCTGTTGGTCAGTCTATCCATCATTCTAGCCATTAGACCATGAAAAATTCGAGTTTCATCCATCGTTCTATCGGTCAATCAATTCATCCATCCATCATTCTGTTGGTCAGTCTATCATCCATCATTCTAGCCATTCATCCATCCATCCATCCATCCATCCATCGTTCTATTAGTCAATCAGTCAATCCATCCATCCATCGTTTTGACGGTCGGTCGGACGGTCCATCCATCCATCCATCCATCCATCCATCCATCGTTCTATTAGTCGATCAGTCAATCCATCCATCCATCGTTTTGACGGTCGGTCGGACGGTCCATCCATCCATCCATCCATCCATCGTTCTATTAGTCAATCAGTCAATCCATCCATCCATCGTTTTGACGGTCGGTCAGACGGTCCATCCATCCATCCATCCATCGTTCTATTTGTCAGTCAGTCAATCCATCCATCCATCGTTTTGTCGGTCGGTCGGACGGTCCATCCATCCATCGTTCTGTCGGTCAATCCATCCATTGGTCAATCTATCCATCATTCTATCATTTTAGCTATCCATCCATCCATCCGTCCATCAATCCATCCATCCATCCATTGTTGTAGCATCATGTGGAGCAGTTTTAGATATTGTAAGATGTGTTAAATGAAGTTGAGTGTACTGCACTCTTATTGGTGGCTGAAATCATTAATCGAATTAGCATATGAACCCATTAATAAACGTGTGAAAAATTCAGAATGACGAGGAGTCAAATTCTGCATAAACCTGTGGAGCTTTTTTGTGAAATCCTGTGGGCACAGGTTCTGCGTGGGTCTGCCCATGACTCATCTAACTCTCAAGTTCGATACTGAATAAACACTGAATAGTAACTGTCTTTCGTAAGTCCTGCATGCTGGTGACTTCTGACTGCATGCAAACTCTCGGCATAATCACTGTGACTGACATTAACAAGGAAAAGCTCAACCCCACAAGTAATAAATAGCAGCTTCAGGAAGAACGGTCCCCAGGACAGGTTACAGGAAGTGGAGAGCACCTGTTATCCACCTCCTGTGTGTGCATATGTTTATGTGAGCATGTGTACACACCTGGCTGGAAGGAATGACTAATCGAGCCCTAGAAGGAAGCAAGAATCCAACAAGATCATGATGTCAGTGTCATCTGCTTACGTGCAGCCTCTCGCGCTCTCGCTCTTTTGACACCCACATTAACACTTCAGTTCTTCCTCTTCTACATTTGGGTATTTGTCTTCTCATCCAGGTTTGTCTTTTCATATTCATATTCTTTTTCATATTATATTCTTATTCATATTCTTTTTTTTTTGTATATTCTTTCCACAGTCTTTTCATAGTCATATTCATATTCTTTTTCCGCTCTATCTCTGTCGCTGACGTAAAAACCATCTGTCTTCTCTTACATTGTGCACTTTGCTTAAATTCCTCTTTTCTCATTCTGGTTGTTTTTGTTTCCTTCCCTTAATCTCCCTCTTTCTCAGTGTCAATACTAGAGGTTGACCGATAATGGGTTTTGCAGGTTTCAATAACTAAGGTGGGGGAAAAGCAAATTAACCCATAGTATTTAAAATTGATATATTGATGAAAAAAATTATATGGCATATTTATAATAGCATATTTTAATCTTTATTCATTTTATAATATATAATTAATTATATATCAAATATAAAATACATTATAAAAAACTGAACTTTAACTTGTAACATGTAACTTTAACTTTATGCAATTGAGTTAAAGTCAGCCAGCAGTTAAACCAGTCAGCAATTATGCTGATTTAAGTCTCGCATTATATTTCATAATGTCGTCCTTAGAGGATTAAGGACACAAAACACTGTGAAAGAGGTTTGTTTCGAGTCAGACATGAATGAAATTTATGATGCGGTTCAGTGAGTCAGATGTTAATTCAGTAAGCATTCTGGCAGATTCAGTGAATGATTCAGTAGTTGTGGAGTCTTTTGACTCATTAAAGTTTACTTTATCTATCCATCCATCCATCCATCCATCCAACCATTTAATAAATTCATAATTTTCAATTCAGTACCCAACTGTAATGAATCAAATAGACTTGTGAATTATTTCTTCATGAACCAGACTTTACTGGCTGCACTGTAATTTTGTTTTTTTACATGTGCGTCCAGCAAGACGGGACAAGGCGAGGTTTTTATTTTATTTTTTTGCAGTAACCATGTCTTTTAAATTATTATTAATTTATATTGTAAGACATCAACTCACATACAGTATAATTTATTTTGTCATGATGCTTTAAATTTAGTAGTTCTGCCATCGAATAGCGATGGATGAAATGCTTCAAAATTAATATTGTGACACTTATGTATACAGTAATCTAGTCTTTCAGATTGGTTAAATTTCAGAAGTCATTTTAATCTGAATTAATTTTGTCACTGATATTTCTAAATAATTTGAGTAATATTCGGATTTGCATAAAGGTGCTGTTGAACAGGATGATTTAAACTGTGCAAAAAACTAACATAAGTGTTAATTTTTCCCAGTATCTGATGAATAAATGAATCATAGACTTATGAATTATTTGCGCTTTTGAACGATTCAAAAAATTACTCTGCGGTTAGATCGATTCGCGGCTTTTGAGAATCGATATCGAATCGACGTCATTGGAAAATGGAAAGTTGTGGAGAATTTTGACTCATTAAAGTTGATTCATTCATTAAAAGTGTCAAATGAAATGAATCAAAGAGACTCATGAACTAATCATTCATGAATCAGGCTGCACTGTTTTTATTTTTACATGTGCATCCAAAAAGACATTACAAAAGATGTTTTTTTTTTTTATTGTTGTTGGGGTTTTTGCCGTAACCATGTCTTTTAAATCATTATGATTCGTTCAGATTGCAACTCAGATACAGTATATTTTTTATATATAATTTTGTGATGCTGTTGATTTAGTAGCTCTGCCACCGAATAGTAATGCATGAAATGTTTAAAAATTAATAGCGTGACTATTTTTATACAGTAATCCAATCCTGCAGATTGTCTTAATTTAAATTCAGAAGTCATTTTATGTAGTAAAGTAATTTTGTCACCAACATTTCTAAGTAATTTTAGAAATATCCGGGTGCTCATTGAGGTGCTGTTGAACAGGGAAAAATTAACATAAGTGTTCATTTTTCCAGATATCTGATGGTTCCAAAAGCTTTTATCAGCACAAATTAACTGGTCAAAAACCATATTTTGGTCAGCCTCTAGTCAGTACCACCTACTTCTCAACTCAGAGCCTCAGCTTCTCTTGACATGTTCTTTCTATGGCTGTATGTGACACGCCTAACACGTTCTGTCTTGAGAGTTGAGCTGAAGAGTTCTGAGTGCCATCTTTCTCTCTCAATGAACTTCTGAAATAAATGAACAGAAAAACATCCTTTGCTCATGGAGTTTTAAGTATAAACTCACACTACCTTTCAAAAGTCTCTTATGCTCACCAAGTCTGCATTTATTTGATCAAAAATACAGTATAAACCACAATATTGTGAAATATTACAATTTAAAATAATGAGGATTTTTCAGCAGCCATTTTCCCTTCAGAAATCATTGTAGTATGCTGATTTGATGCTCGAGAAGTATTTCTTATTATTATCAAAACTGGAAACAGTTATGTTGCGTAATATTTTTGTGGCTCAGAGCCTCAGCTTCTCTTGACATGTTCTTTCTATGGCTGTATGTGACACGCCTAACACGTTCTGTCTTGAGAGTTGAGCTGAAGAGTTCTGAGTGCCATCTTTCTCTCTCTCTCTTGCAGGCTGTGTGTGTGTGATATGGATCGTTTAGGACGGAATGAGTTCATAGGTGAAGTCAGGGTGGCCCTCAAGAAACTGAAGGAGGGAGAGAGCAAGAAATACTATATGGGCCTTGAGAGAATTACACAGGTGTGTGTGTGTGTGTGTGTGTGTGAGTGAGTCATTGTGGCCGTTGTGAGGTTATGTCCATTAGAATTTGTACGATGCATAATTTAGTGTTTGGGCATTTGCTGTATTATTAATAACTTTTCTATGGTCTTACAGACCCGGGAGGGTAACAGCCAGGCAGTGGATCCTGGGGCTCCTGTTGCAGAAGAAGAGGTAAAGATCCGATACTTTCCATCCCATATTTTAGACCTCTGGAAACTCCCTATTTACACTGAAACAGCCCTGAATGTAGAACACTCACATTCAGGGTACAACGAGGACAAAGGCCCCAGGATAAACGGACCTGATTTTTATTATCTCAAAACACTAATTAGAAAGAAAAGCACTTTCCTGAACACTTGTTTTTCACTTTGGACTGATAAACTGTCCTGGTCCATAAGGTTATCAGGTTCAGTAGATGATTGAGGTAATTACATTTAAAATAAGTTTTAAATATTTTTCAGATGTCACTAATGAGAATCTCTAAAATTATCATGATTATTTTGAGATAAAATTCTTATAATATTAGCCTGTACTAATATTATATATAGTGTTCTCTAACTAAAAGTAGTTCTTTAATTTTAATGAACTTCTGAAATAAATGAACAGAAAAACATCCTTTGCTCATGGAGTTTTAAGTATAAACTCACACTACCTTTCAAAAGTCTCTTATGCTCACCAAGTCTGCATTTATTTGATCAAAAATACAGTATAAACCACAATATTGTGAAATATTACAATTTAAAATAATGAGGATTTTTCAGCAGCCATTTTCCCTTCAGAAATCATTGTAGTATGCTGATTTGATGCTCGAGAAGTATTTCTTATTATTATCAAAACTGGAAACAGTTATGTTGCGTAATATTTTTGTGGAAAAGGTGTGGGGGGGCATTTCTTTGAAATAGAATGTTATACATTATTAATGTCACTTTTGATCAATTCAATGCAGAATTGTTAAATAAAATAGCTAAAAAAATCTCTGATCCCAAACTTTGTTAGTGTATTTTGAGACAACACACTATTTTTGCCTGTACTAATATTGTAACTGCAATATATATAATGTTAATTTACTAAAAGTTGTTCTTTAGTTTAAGTTAAAAGGTTATTAAAGCCAAAATATATTAAATGAACATAAAATTGGTTCTTTACTGAAGGGGTTTAAGCATATACCTAAATATTAGGGCTGGGTAAAAAGATATCGATATCTCGATATTAATCGATTCCCATTTTTTTGGAACGATTCTTAAATCCCAAGAATCGATTAGTCTAGCCTGTTTTCAGTTAATGGACGGAACACTGAAGGGAACTTCTCATCCAATATATCGCAATAAGCATTGTGCTTTGAACATATTCATTATACATTTGACTGTTCTTCAATGTTTAACTTATGTTTGAATAAATCCATCAAGTTTTTATGACAGCCACCATTTATTATAAAAAAAATGAAACGAATTGAAGTAGAAATATTATTATGTAATTGTAACTTTATTAATAGTATAGAAATATTATTATGTAATTGTAACTTTATTATTTTAAAAACTTCATTAAGTGTAATTTTAACAAATCAGTCAATTTTAACCTTATTATTATTATTATAGTAATGTAGTACCAACTGACTCTCATGTATATTTTACACCATTAGTTGAGAGATTTTTTTTCCTTGAGAAAATTTGGCATGTACTGTACTACCTGATATAAATCCAAAATAATAGATATTGAATCGAATCGAATCGCAAGCTTGTGAATGAGAATCGAATTGTGAAATTTGTGTCAAAACCCAGCCCTACTAAATATTACTCAAAAATATCTTGCCAAATGTTACTCAAAAATATCTTGCCATATAATTATTTAAAATTGCATTTACTTCACACTTGGGGTAAAATGTCCCTTTTTATTTATTTATTTATTTATATATTTTTATGCAAATTTTGTTACTCCCTCTGTATACAATAAAAATAAATATTTTTCAGTCATCTTTATTTTGGGCTAGAAGAACAATCACATTGTTCTTAAGGGGATGTTTAGCCCTGTTGTACCGTACTGACATATATTGTTTAATGTACTTTTGTTGGCCTGAATATTGATCAGTGGAAACAAGCCTGTCTGTCTGTCTGTTTCTCTAGCGTGGCCGTATCCTGGTCTCTCTGATGTACATCACAGAGAAGAGTTCTCTGATTGTGGGAATTATTCGCTGTGCTCACCTCGCCGCCATGGATTCGAATGGCTACTCGGACCCCTTTGTCAAAATGTGAGTCTTCTGTCACTTTGTTTTACAGAGTGGACAGTGCCAAAGTGACAGGAATTGATAAATGAATGCCTATTCATGTCAAGTCTGAGTTTTTAGCATTGCACAAGCATACAAAGCCAGGCAGTCAGAATAAACCAGCTTTGTTCGCAATATGCATCAGATAGTAATCGAACAGACTGTTTTTTGGTTTGTTGTTTTTTAGAAGTTTGAAATGAGACCCATGGGCTTTGTGTGATGATTTGAGCCTACAACCCCACACGAGTGGAGCTAATGTTGTAATCAGTACCTCAAAGCACCGATGTTAGAGTTAAAGCAAATTAGCAGACAAGTACAATCCCCAGGGCTCCTGTAGTGAGTCAGTGGTGGGCATGATTATCATTTTCACAGCTTTTATTTAATTTTCACATTTATTACAATCAAAAAAAGCAAGTTTTAACAAGCATAATTTTGTTTCGTCCTCCCTTGAATCATTGCATAGCACAGCATCAGGCGAACGTAAGAACATGTAACTGCTTTATGACTCAATTCATTGGCATCGCCCTCCTCCTAGTTAGCATCATGGATTTCATTTCCGGGTGATTTATTTCTCTCTGTACCTCCGGTTGATCATAATCTATCCCCCTGTGGGTTCTTGCGAAGAATAATTCAAAGTCCACCCACACATTAAGACATGAGGAGATTTTATTTAGAGGCATAGGGAATTAATGGGGCATAGAGATTCACAGAGGCAAGTGGAAAGTCAGAAAAAAACTCGGCCGTTGCTTTTTTTTTTTTAAATCTTGCACTCTCAGCTTCGGCTTCCTGCCCTCCGTTTCCCATCACATGCTCTTTTATCATTTCCTATACCTCTTCTTCTTGACTCTATCCATTCCTCACACTCTCTCTCTCCTCTCAAGTTTGATAAGCATGCATAAATCTTGGACCACTCTCTTCCTGTCGATGGGGTCCTGTTCATTCTTATCGTGAATGTATTTTGATGTGTTGTGTGATGGAGAGGAGTTTTTTCCACTATCTGCTCCGAGGAGATTAGGATTTCCTTGTTTATTGTGCCAGTTACAAGCACTGGTGGGCTCACTGGAGCAGTGGAAATCTATTGTTGAAGAGTGGACTGCTTTTATACAGCGGGATGGACTGCTGGGAGTGTGCTTGTGCATGTGTGTGTGACAGCTGCTTTAAGACTTGTCAATATAGTTTAGGATAAGGTGGAAATTTTGACTGCATCTCTCGTGACACGTATGAAAGCATGGCAGAGGCTTGTTTGGATGCTGGGATTGTTTGTGCATTGTGACGGCTGGAGATGTTATTTGGCTTTTTTGTCCGCTGAGGTTGATTCCAGTTATGGCTGGATTTAGCTGGAATTTATTGAAGCAGCAAACTCATTTTATTAGATTGGATTTTCTGCATCAGTCACTCTTGTCTTTTTAATAGAAATAAAGGCTTTAATTGCAATTATTTATTGGATTCCAAAAAAACTAAAATAATGTGAAGTAACTGTCAACACCAATAATGTAAAAAAAAAAGGGGGTTTTCAGTGTCACTAATTAGCTAATGTAAATTATTTACATTTAAATATAAATTATATATATATATAATATTATATATATATAATTGTGAAACAGGGCTAAACAGTTTTTTGTATTTCTATTTTATTTTTATGTATTTCTATTTTTTATGTTTTTTTCTATTTATAAATGTGACTGATTTTTTTTACTTTTTATTAAAACTAATTACAATTAATTACCGTAAAAAAAAAACCTATTAAAAATAATATTTTGGTTTGCAATAATATCTAGAAATTATACCACTAAACCACCTATAAATTATTTTAAACTTATTTGTTTGAAAATGATGGCATATGAATTGGTTTGACATTTTAACCCATTCTAACAGATGCTTCTCAGTCAAGTATTTCTCTCAATTTTGTCAAAATTTCCTCTGTGTCAGTCAACTAGTAACTCTCTCTCTCTCTCTCTCTCTGTAGTAACATTGGCCACGGGTCAACAGGCGATCGTTATTGTTGAGTCCTGGACTGGCTTAGTCTGTAATAGAGGGAACATGAAACTGGACACAAGTAGGGATTAACTGTGGAGGGAAACTGGGGGCCAATCAATACTGTAGTCGTTCCATAGGGGGAAAGAGAAACAAAATCTCTAGATTCAGAGAGTTGCAGCTAGTGACGTTCACATGTTTTTTTTTTCTGTTGAGATGTTTTTCTCAGGCAACAGAGTGTCTGGTTTTAACCGAAGAAGCCTATGCAGGGAAGCTTACCCACAACTCTCTATCTCTTCTCTCCTGTATGTGAATTTAATCACCATATCCAGGTTGCTAGAAGGAAATCCATTTAATCAATGTGCTAAGGCAAGGCTACAGGCATTTTCAGAGAAATTCAGGAAAGGAATCTACACATCAGCTGTGTTTGAAACATCTCAAATGTAATTACCCAAGAAAATCATTTCTAGACATAGCCTTTCCATTCAATAAAGTTTATTTTAGAGCAATCAGTGATTAGTTAATTATTTTCAGCAGAGATTGTGGGTGTGCAGAGGCAAACACTTTTACAAATTTAAAAATTCAGATTATCTGATAATTGTTATACTTTAAATAGTTTTATTTTCTTGGGATGCAAAGATAAAAAGGCTAATTAATTACTTAAAAGTTGATGAAATACATTTGCGAACCATTTTACTTCCAGCATGTGACGTATTCCCTGGGGAAACAGGATATCCAATGACAGTTTTACCCTTTAGTACTATAGTTAACTAAAACTAAAACTGAAAATAAAATTAAAACCATAAAATAACTGCTATTTGAAGTAAACGTTAACTGAATAAAATATAAACAAATTATTATTTTAAGTAGTTGCCAAGGCAACTTTTGTCATTTTCATTTAGTTTAACTTGATGTACTAAAATAACTTAAAGGGGGCATAACACACACAGTTTCACCCAATCTCATGTTAATCTTGAGTACCTATAGAGTAGTACTGCATCCTTCATATCATACTCTGTCATACGTCCAAATTGTTTTTTGAAACTTTGTCCATGCTTAGCATGAGAATCCAACTCTTTAACAGTGTAAACAACTCTGAATGTATGAAACAGCATTGTACCCCCCCTTTAAACTAAAACTGAAATAAAAAATAATAAAAACTGTATAGACATGAAAAAACTACTAAAAATGACAAAAACACAAAACAAAATTGCTAAAACTTTAACTAAAATAAAAATAAAAATGGAAAATATAAAAATAAAAACTATAATAGTATCTCAATGATACTAAAATAGCGCTGTTTAGGACTTGATTAGATCATGATCTCTTCATGACAGGTTATTGGAGATGATTAGTTTGGTGAAATTAGCCAAAATGGAAAGATGCTTTCAGAAGCATTTAAAGATGGTCTTTGTCTTTTGAATAACATGCTCCAATAAATAATTAGGCATGGGCATTTTTCAAAAATATTGTATTAGTTTTTTGATGAGAATGTGTGTATAAAAAATATATATATATATATATATATATATATATATATAAGAAAAAAAGCATTCTAGCTTAAGCAGAGCAAACGGAAAAAATAAAGCAGACCGTGCCAATTACAGTACAGAATGTACATATACTCGAGTTGGCCTATGTTTATATTGTCTCACATCATGTTAATGTTGGGAAAAACAATAATATCCACATGAAAGTGGGCTCCTCAGTCTGATAAGACCATGTGCCAACACAGACGTTCCAGAGGCACAAAGATAACGGTGTGCTAAGCAAAGTTTCTTACAGCGCTTTGTGTTTTCTGTTCTTAAACCACTCTCCCTCGAGGAAACTTAAAGGAAGCATATGTCTCAAGATCATTTGGCTATCAGATAAGCTGTCTTCTCGGCGCACTCGGGTACAGCTGCGCTTACCCGCAGTCGTGAATGCAGTGATGGACAGCTGTCTTTTCTCGGTCCACTGGCGTTTGGTTTTCATGTGTTTTCTCATTGTGGTGGTGATATTATGATAACTCTGTTTCACTGATTCATTTGATCAAAAGTAATTCCATTTTGTAAGATCATTTAGTAAGATCATTTTGATCAAAGTAATTCCAAACTTCACGAGGCAGACAACGACATTCTGTGATCAAATACAATTAACTTGTTAACTATCTGTGCCACCCAGTGCATTTAGTTATAACTGACTTTTAGTTTGTGTGCTTAGGATTCATCATGGATTCCCGGCATTTACGGCCAGCAAAGCGACACGTAGTAAAATTTAAATAGTGTTTTTATTTTCCGAATAATAATTACAGATCAAATATTCTACTATTTGTGCACACCCTTATAAATAATAAGAACTGGAATGTATAAATCAGGTCAGTTCTGATCTGATGTTCCTGAAGCCTCTGTCAATCGGTTGCTTTGATAGTAAAAAAACACACAAATGGTAAACGGTAATCCAGCTGAAGCTAGCATTCACAAACGTATGACTTTTAGCAAATCAGTTAGGGTGAACATCACATAACAATTAATATTCATGACTCAAGTATGCCTGGCACAGTTGCGCTGAGCCGCTGACAGAAAGTAAAGGAGCGAAGACATGAACAACAGCAAAGAAGAAAAGCCGTGTTTGACAGAAGTATGCATTTTTTTAATATTCATATCATATCTGTCACAACAATGCTGTTTCTGGAAAGTTTAGTTTATGCTTTCAAGTACTTTCTCACATGAGTGTAACCGTGGCAACTAGGCATTTAAAACTAATGATATTTCTAATGTGTATTTAGAGAGGCTGATGAGATTTAGATATGCCCCCACTTTTCAGATTGTGTGTATATGTAATGATTATGAATGAGACCCCGTAGAGTTCAGCTCTATTTTCATCTGGCCCTCGGCATCACCACATAATTAGAACAGACAAGGGAATGCAGATATTATTGCACATGCTCTAATTAATGTCATTACACGGGACACAATTTCAATAGTTCCGCTTTCATCTGAACTTATTGCAATGGCAAGACATTTAGGCTCGCATTCAAATGTTTATTCAGACGCTTGGCATCATGCACAGACGTCTTAAATGTGCATTTTTCACTAATTGCAGAAACGATTAAGTTAAAATGTAATTAGTGACTAATTCACGGATACATGGATGCAGGTGCACATTAAAGCTGAAGTGTGTATTTTCTTGATGTTAAAATACTTTCTCCTTTATCAGTGCAGAGTCAACTATAGTGGTTGATTTCCAGGAAACATGTCAACACTGGAACTCTATGGTGCTTTCAGAGCATTTGTCTGTTTGTTTCAGTGCTTTGAGCTTCACAACAAAACAACTTTGGCTCAAACAGTGGTGTGAGTTAGAGACAGGACTGTCAGATTGACTCATTAATGGACGACGTTCAAAAGTTTGGTCGGTTAGAATTTATGAAATTTTTTATTTTATTTTGAAGAAATGAATACATTTATTCAGCAAGGATGCACTAAAATGATCGAAACTGATAGTAAAGACTTTTACATTATGAAAAATCTTTTCAAATAAATGCTGTTCTTTTGAACTTATTCATCAAAGCATCCTGAAGAAATATCAAGCAGCACAACTGTTTTCAACACTGATAATAATAAGAAATGTTTCATGAACAGCAAATCAGCATATCAGATTGATTTCTAAAGGATCATGTGACACTGAAGACTGGAAGTATTGATGCTGAAAATTCAACTTGCCATCGCAGGAATAAATTACATTTTAAAATATATAAAAGATATAAAACAGTTACTTTATATTACTGTGTTTATGTATTTTCAATCAAATAAATGCAACCATGGTGAGCATATGAGACTTTTCTCATAAAATACTATTAAAATGTTAAAAAAAAAAAATTCTTAGGAACCCCAAACTTTTGAACAGTACTGTAGAATTAAGTTTTAAGTATGCATGTGTGTAGTAATTCAATCTGGACATACTACATCCTACAGTACACACTACATGTTGGCGTTGTCATGTGACGACTCTCCCGTGGCCTCATTGTCCATTGGATAACTCTGGGTGGTAGCAGTAGGTCATTCATACATTTTTTAGCTAGTATTTTATGAATACTGTGTATTTGGACATAATATTTATCTGATGAATTTTGCATAATATAATAGAAGGGATATAGGCACACTTGTACACATTTTATGCAACCATGGTGAGCATATGAGGCTTTTCTCATAAAATACTATTAAAATGTCAAAAAAAATAAATTCTTAGGAACCCCAAACTTTTGAACAGTACTGTAGAATTAAGTTTTAAGTATGCATGTGTGTAGTAATTCAATCTGGACATACTACATCCTACAGTACACACTACATGTTGGTGTTGTCATGTGACGACTCTCCCGTGGCCTCATCGGATAGTAAAGTGTCCATTGGATACTTATAACTCTGGGTGGTAGCAGTAGGTCATTCATAAATTTTTTAGCTAGTGTTTTATGATTACTGTGTATTTGGACATAATATTCATCTGATGAATTTTGCATAATATAATAGAAGGGATATAGGCACACTTATACACATTTTCATTTGATGGCACTAGTGGCACAGAAATTACTTTTACATTTGGCAGAAGCAAAACGGTTTGCATTGCATTCATGGTGTACTCATAAGTTCGTGCATTCACCTTGGAATCAAACCCATGACCTTCAGCTTTGCTACTGTTTGAGGTAAAGGAATGATAATTACACACTAATTTTATGCTGCTTGCACTAATTACAAATGGCACACTTCAGCTTTAATATATGTAAATATTATGTAAAATGTTTTTTTGTCTTGTTTTACCATGCCTGTTATGAAGTAAACTTGCTGCAAGAAATAACATAGGTCTGTAAGATTAGGGCTCAATAATAGACTGGGGGTTAACATATTGAAAATGTCATTCTTATTCATCTGAATTTGCCCTCGCTACACAATGATTTCCAATACTCAAGACTGTCTCATTGTAGGCGTAAACATTTTGTCCATGCCAAATTTCTTCTTTCATTCAGGACTGATGGTTGTCGTTGTAGACAGGCTATTCCAAGACGACAGTTATTCTTTTAATTATCCAGATGACGAGAGTTGTCTCCTTAGGGTTAGATCTGAATTGAGCCCCATGGTATCAAGAATGAAATTTCCTGCAGCTCTTCTTGAGAAGGACATTATGTGCCTCATGCTTAATGAAATAGCATCTAATACTAGCATGTTTAGCATCACTGTGTTTTGCCATTTAAATCAAGTTTATCTGCCCTGTAACTCTTTCAAAGTCTGATAAACCATTGATTGAACTTTGTCACAACTTTCCATGAAGACATGAAGGAAACAGCTGGAACATGTCCCAGGCCTGTCTACTCATTGGTCCTGGGAGAACACATCTAAAAATGTTGCAAATTTAAATGACAACTATGTATTGACCAATTAAAATCCAACACTTATTACAGGACTTGTCAATAAAATATTAATAGGATCACATTAAAAAGCCATTAGAAATGCAAAATCATCCTGTCAGTGACTTAAAGCTTGTCACACACAAAAAAAACATCATTAATATTCTGACTAAATGTCATTATGTGAAAGTTACTAATCAAGCATCTATTATTATTTTCAATAGTGAGTCATTAGTCCAGTGGTTATCATCCAGTGGTAAATAATTTTTTGCAACGAACACATGCTGTGCTGTTAAATGATAATCTGTCAGTATTATCCGGTTGACATTTAATGGAAACCAACAGCATGATTGCAAGTGTGATATTGGCTTTATACACCCATTCAAAAAATAAGCTAATAAGAAACTAATTTAAGACACAATAGTTACAGAACTGTTATGGGTTCAGCACAGTTGTTTAGTACAGTCTTTCATGAATGATTTGTTCTTTTATATGAATCTCTGATATGTCTTGGGAATAACAAGTTGTCTCAGAGACTGATTTGTTAATTTTGTTGTGACTGTGCATACGCAACATCTCAAAAAGACGCTGTAGGACTTGGAGTGAACTAATTTCCGTTTCCCATAATTTATCTTTGGCTGCATGTATTTCAAATTCAGAATTTCAGTTTGTCTATTAAATGAACGAATCAGTCTTAATCTGAATGAATCAGTGTATTTGAATGATTCAGTTGATTGAATGACTCAATCACTGAATCCGCATACTACTCTTACTACAGTATTCATCTTTCTATGGCAGACATAGTAAGTAAAATAGTAACTAGTACACCGTTCTGAATTCAGCAAATGACTCATTCATAAGGTTTGGTAATATTATATTAGAGCAACTGATTTTATACATCAACCCTCTTAATCCATTCATTCCATCCATCCTCATTTAGAGATTATCATCTCTCAGTCTGTAATAGATTGAATGAATCACACAGAACAACACCCCATCCCACCACCACCTCACTATACAAGGTTTCTCTCTCCGTTCTCTCTCTAGAATTTGTCATCCCCTAAAATGCGCTCTTACACCCTTGTCTGTGTTTTTTCTGTCTTGATTGTGTCATGGATGTTTTGTGAGCTTGAGACAAACGGGGCTAATGATATTCTTTGATGTTTCAGAAGTTATAACATTTTCACTGCAGAGGAATGATTAATTTCTGGCTATTTCTCTTTCTCGTTATCAGTGTTTTGCAGCCTAACATGGGGAAAAAGTCCAAATACAAAACCTCAGTAAAGAAGAAGACACTAAACCCAGAGTTTAACGAGGTCAGCTATTTCCATTAAAGGTGTGGTCACATGAAACTGCACAATTAATTAATATTAAGGTTCTCGCAATTTATTGAAAATGAAAAATGCTGATTTCTTTCTGTCTTTTACACAGTTTTTTCAGTGGTTGAGAATTGTAACCAGTCACAGACAAATGCAATGGCAAACCAAAGGCTTTTAAATGAGTCTATAGGCCTTTATAAGGGAGTTTAAAGTAGTCTTGATTATCTTTTTTAATCTAAAGTAATAATTGCAATAAAATACCAAGGAGAAAAACATAACGATTAGGATATTGTCACAGTCATGCAGCCCTTTAGGCTTTCTGCTCTATTCAAATCCATTCATATTCATGCAAATGTGGGCGAGCGGAAAAGCAAACACAAGTCAAGAAGTTTCATTCTTGGCTGCATACTAAATTCAAGTTTGATGAACTTTGAATTTGTATAGTCCCAGATTGATCTCGAGTCAAAATGAAGAATAAAAATTTGGTTTGCAATTTGTGGGAAAGTGAAGTAAGTGGTATATATGACCATTTTTATTCTATTGTTTTTTTGTTACATATAATTTATGATTTACTTAAAAACAGAAGCTCTAGAATGTGACATCCTTTTCTGATGTTTATAACTTTGCATGCTCAAAGCTGAGTGTGACCACACTTTCACTCAATGTGAATATAAATGTTGTTTTTTTCCCTCTATCAAAACTCATGTGTGTCCTCTTCAACCCAGGAGTTTACCTATGAAGTCCCGCATGATCAGCTGGCCAAGAAAACCCTGGAAATCTCAGTCTGGGACTACGACCTTGGCATGAGCAATGACTTCATAGGTGAGTTTTACAAGCAAGTCTATGGTGCAAAGCACTTCACCAAAAATGAAAGTACACACTATTTGAACATTTAAGCCACTTGATGACAATGGGAAAACAATAAAGAAAAACACTAAAAGGATGATCAGCTTTACCACTCAGATAACACACATTTTTATAAGAAAGAATGAAGGAAGGTTCACCTTACAAGTTATTTTGTATTTCCTATACTTATATATTCTGTATTTATTTATTAGTGTTTGTGTATATAAAGTGGGTATAGAAAATAATCACATTTTGTTGCTTTGCAGCCTGAAATGAAGATGGACAGTTTTTGTTTTATCCAGCTGTATTTACTCAGGGCAACTTATAACATCCATGTGAAAGATATAACACCAACATGTCAGAAAAAGAAAAAAAAAACAATCATTGAGTTGTAAACTCGATCAGTTGTAAAGTCAATCTGGTGTAGCTAATTACCTTCTTAATGGCACACAAAGCCATTTGACTTTCAACTGTGATCAGCTGTGGTCATTTTGATTAGCTCAGCATGAAAAAAGCTTTCCTGGAGCATTTCAGTCCTTGGTAATGCAACTGCGCAAACAATCAATTATGGGCACCCATCAAAAGATCTCCAGGATAAAATTGTGGACAGGCACATATCAAATTCTTTTCCTCAAGAAAGGCCACATGCAGTCACGACTGAGCTTTGCCAAAACGCACCTTGAAGATTCTGAGGCAGATGAGACTAAAATTGAGTTATTTAGCCTCAACACCAAACAATATGTCTGGCGGAAATCCAATAGAGCTCACCATCAAAATAACAGCATTCCTACGGTAAAGCATGGATACAGTAATATCCTGTTATGGGGTGTTTCTCTGCAGCAGGGACTGGAGCACCTGTCAGGATAGAAGGAAAAATGGATGGGGAAAAATACCTTCAAATTCTTGAGGAAAATCTGCTGTATACCCACTGTATGTATATATACACACAACTTTTCAGCAAAATTAAGTAAAAGTATAAAAATAGAGTTATAGAATATACCTGTTATATACCGTGTATATAAGAGTGATTTGATTTGAACATGTCACAACATGCATGTCTCATTTCCTGAGCAGAATAAGAAAAGAGTTTTATATAAAGGGTAGTTCACCAAAAAATCTCATCATTTGCTCATTCTCATGTCATTCCCAATCTGTATGACTTTTTCTTTCCTTGGAGCACCAAAGGAGAAGTTTAGCAGAATGTCCATAATGTGTGCTTTGCATACAATGAAAGTGGATGGGGTCCAGGGCTGTCAAGCTCCAAAAAAAGAAAAAACAAAAAAGCATCACAAAAGGATCATAAAAGTAGTCCAATGTGAACCATACAACAGACTCATGAACAGACTCACTCAGACTCATGTTTAAGTCGTTTATCACTGAAAGTGTTTCTCGACAGCTGTGGTCACTGTTCACTTTTAATGAAAGAGCAGCCTGGACATTCTGCTATAAATAACTGCTTTTTGTGCACCACAGAAGAAAAAAGATCATACAGGTTTCGAAAGACATGTGGGTGAGTAAATGATGACAGAATTTTCATTTTTGGCTCAGCTGTCCCTTAATAAAAAGAAACAGAGGAAGAGACTAGAACAGAAAGGCTCTTGAGCTTTGTGCAATGACATGTTTATTTATGGTTGAATGACACGAACGCTCTGTAACAATCGGGACAGTGAGAGTAATTGATGTCAATGTTACTGATTTAGAGGGGATGGCTGAAGAATGGATTCGGGGGGGGGGGCATCAACAGAGAAGTGTAAAGACATGAAGCGATGTAAATGAACGGAGAGGCTTGTGAGAGACATCCAGGCGTGAAGGCACACAGAGGATGCAGGTCTCGGATTGACAAGTGCAATGAAGCTTAGTATTTATTTAACATTTTCTTGGATCTTTCCAACTCACTTTCTTTCACCCGCTCCCTGTCTATTTCCTTTCTTTTTTTTCATTCCCTATGGCAGGGATGTCATGCGTAGGGTTCATTTGTCATGGCTTGCTCGTGGCCATGAGCATGCGGTATTGATGTGAGGTGTGTGTGTGTTTGTGTAGGAGTGATCGAAGCGGGACAGAATCTCAGTACGTGAGGGGCCTGATGAAATGAAACGCAGCTTGTGTCCACCAACATATTCACATGCACTTTCATTATTCAGAGCAAGCTCAGGTGTTAGACTAAGAGGAAACGCGCTGAAGTGTCTAGAAAAACTCAACTTCAGAAGCTACAGTCAAATACACACTGTATTATATATACATATATAATATGTGTATAATATATATAAACAATTACATGAATGTACTGTACCTATTTAAGCAATGTTTTACACTTATAATTTTGAAAAGCGGATAGCATGTGCTAGAATGTAACGTTGAGTTACTTAGCAACAAACATCCAACCATAATGCTTACCTCATTAATTAAATATTCATGTGCGATTTATGTGCGAATATAGACAAGCAGGTATTAAAACAGGTTGTGTGCTCATCACTCTTCGCCCAGTTTTATTACCCTTATAAATAGATAAATAGGCATCTAATTACTAGCCAGGGTAAAATATGAACAGTATAAAATAGAATAGATTAGACCAATATAGCATGCAGTTGCCTAACACAAAAAAAAATGCAATTACAATATCAAGGAAAATACACTACCGTTCAAACGTTTGGGGTCAGATTTAAATTTTTTCTTCTTTTTTTTTTTAAATAAATGAATACTTTTATTCAGTAAGGATGCATTAAATTAATTCTAATAATTTAAACTAATTAGAAATCAATTCTGTTCTAGTCATCAAAGAATCCTGGAAAGAAATCTGTTTTCACAAAAATTTTAAGCAGCACAACTTTTCAACATTGATAATAATAAGAAATGTTTCTTGAGCAGCAAATCAGCATATTAGAATAAAGTGGTTACGTTATAATATTTAATAATTTTACTCTTTTTACTGTGTTTTTGATTTTTTTTTTAAAACAGCCTTGGTGAGCATAAGAGATTTCTTTCAAAAACATAAAAAAATCTTACCAACCCCAAACTTTTAAACAGTAGTGTAATTATTCATTATGTTTTTGGTCATAATCATGCAGCCCGGCTATTTTTCATTTGGTATCCTATTGTTCTCTCTTTCTCTCTCTTTCTCAGGTGGCGTTGAATTGGGGATTAACGCAAAAGGAGAGAGACTGAAACACTGGTTTGAGTGTCTAAAATACAAAGGAAAGAAAGTGGAGTACTGGCACACACTGACACAGCAAGGAGCCCCTAGCAGTGACTAACACACAAGCACACACATGTTAATTCTCTGCTAAGTAATACAAAGATAATGGAGTAATAATGATAAAGAAATGCAATAATGCTCAGTCTGAGAATGATGATGATGACGTTCCATATTAATGTGTGAGAAAAAGCATAATAATCTATTGTACAGCTAAGTGTCACATTCTTTTGTGATGAGAGAGAAGCAAGTGTGTGTTCACAAGCCCGGATTGTGACGTACAAAGAATCGACCCCTTTTTCTGGTCTACACGTCACTAATGTGAAATCGTACTGTGTTGTGACTATGCCACAGGAGCTCATGCCATATTATAGTGTTATTGTTTATTACATGTTAAACGTGTAATAGCATCCTGGTGTTTGTTACAGTTGGTGGTGCCGTAATTTTGCACACTGTCAAAGCACAACACATCCAGCTGATTGTAAATGTCTATGTGTACCTATGTATTTACCTTTTGTGATTTGTTACGAATGAAACTTTACAGTCTCTTCCAGCCCGACAAAAACATGACAAAGCACAAAGGACGGCACATGAAGGAACTCTAAAGCAATGAAAAGAATTGTCTATGGATTTAAACGTTCACTCAAGAACTGCCGCCTGTCACTTTGAGCAGAACCAAACGACAGTCACCTCAACACGAATGTGTGCGTGCGTGTGTGTGTGAATGTCCCTGTCTGTGTTTTGTCTTTGTATGTGTCTTTGTTAAATGTTTGTATAGTCTACAAAAACAAATGTGCTGATGCACATTGACAGACTTTTTCGCTTTCTCTCCGGCACCCTCTACTGGTTTAGAGGTCTAACCGCCAGTACAGAGGGTGAATCGCCTCTGGCAGGCCTCATGCACAACTGCACGCCCCATTAGGGGTTAAATTAGCAATCAAACGAAGCCTTTGAAGGACAAACTACCTGTCAAGGACAGCTTTGGGTCGCACAAGAGTCAGAACACAAAATCTGGGTTGATTTGCTTTGTCGTCCTGACAGTTAGCTCTGTGAAAAGATGCACATTTCTTGCCATGCGTGGGGATTTTGGCTATAATCGTATCCGTGTGATAGCATTTATTAGCTATTTATAACATTTAAACTTTTCAACTTTTCACCTAGTCTTGACATTTTAGGCATTTAATTGCACAAAAACGTATTGTTAACCTCGTCCTTTCATGGCCTCATCCATCATTCCAAACTTGGAGTTC